GGACAGATGCGCGGACAGTAGCCCTTAAAAAATTGTAATAAAAAAGTCGCATGTAAGCCCTCAAACTTCCTTCTCGGGCCTTCTAGAGGACAGCTTTTCTCCGGGCAACTATTAGTCAAAAGTCCCTCGACAGAAAGCGTGTATTGTAAAGATATCGCAATAATGTCCACAACTTGGGCAGTTATAAAATCATAGCCTGAGGAATAATAATAAGAAAAACAAACAGGCTTGAACGGGATCGAACCCCTGACTTCTGCGATACCGGTGCAGTGCTCTAACGTCTGAGCTGTCAAGCCAACTGGGAGCTGGTTACGTTTTACGTTCGTAATATAGCCTTGGACGGTGAAAAATGCAAGTAAATATATCTTTTATAAAACTGAGATCATATATTTGAACTGCGGAGAGAGATGTACGTAACTGCGATAATAATTCATGTCTTCACATCTCTCTTATGATTTTTCATATATTCACTTGCAGGAAGCGTCGGTTTTTTATATGAGCCTTGCATTTATCAGTTTTCCAATAGACAGGGACACATATAAGGCTGCTGGGACTTCATGTGAAAACACTCTGTAAAGAAATGATTACTGAGGAGACAATTTGTTTTGTCTTGGTACCAGGTCCCTGCACGGCAATAGGAGTATCAGCAGATATATCCAACATACCAGATAGTCAAATGACCACGACCTCACATTACCTCTCATATTATTCATATAATGGCCGACTAAATGGATCATCGGGGTGGTGTGCGGGGAGCAGAGATAACCCAGATGATTACCTCCAAATCGATATGGGAGCCGAGTATTCAGTCTGTGCTGTGGCAACACAAGGAAAGTCGTCAGGATCATATCTGACAAGCTATCAACTGTCCTTTTCTACTGATGGTCAAACCTGGAGCACGTACCAGGAGGATGGACAGAACAAGGTACACTATTTTTCCTTTTTTTTATTATAACAACCTTCTCTATAAGAACGCTGAGGTTGAGACTAACCGAAATTTTAGGAGGATGGAGTGGAACAAGGTATAATATGTAGATTTAGCAAAGCCCAAAAGCGGAGCTCTGCAGTTATTTACTTGGATATTGTTAACAATTAAACTGATAATCCAACATGTGTTGCAAATTTTGGACGATTTTGTAGTTTCGGCCCGAAATAGCACCACATCCGCGTGGATTACATAGTAATGTAAATGAGAAAAGCTAACCGTTAATAAAAGGGGCTATTGTGCTGAATTGTATGCACTAAATAAATCAATGTGAGTGAAAACAGGAAGGGTTTTTATATGTATTGGACACATTCCTCGTTTGTGTGGCCCTACGCATGCTGACTTGCACGAACAATTTCTTAAAGGATTGCTAGTCAGCGGAGCTTTACTTTGCAAAACTCTTACGTTCGGCACACAGTAAGGTACATGTTGTGGGGAAGTGAATCAGAGACAGGCTTCTTCATGTGGACGCAAAGAACCCATGAGCAGGGACAGCAAGCAAACTTGTGCACCCGAAGCTAAGCGGTTATTGATTCATTTCTATGTTGAAACACAGACAGTTTGGAAGCACACTGCTCTCGATGCAAATTGAAAATTGAGGTCATTTTGCCCCTTCTCTGTGACGCACGTTATCCACCAAGTTGAATTTTATGCATCCTGTGTGGGGAAAAAAATTTGTGGTTATGGTGGTGAAATTTGTGGACACATGGTCTTTTTATGCTTACAGGATTTTGAGGCAAATGAAGATTTAAACAGCATTGTGCATCATTCACTGATTACTTACGAAGAAGCGAGATATGTGCGATTCCACCCTACCAGTTATTCCACATGGCCTTGTGTGAGGGTTGAAATATATGTGATCTCATAAAAAGGCTGCTTCAAGGGGCATTTTAAGGATGCAACATATATCATTAACGAAATCGAGGTTTCCTACATCCTTTTACGTTTGCATTAAGTTTGATTAAGTTCTCTTAAGAACAATAGAATACATTTGTTGTAGCAAAAAAGTGAACAGTTTGATTTCTTGGTCTAGATTGGGGTGAAACGGATTTGCATTAGGCATCTCCGTGTTTTCAACGTGAATTTTATTCTTATTGCTAATGGCTGGTTCAAGTGGTTTATGGAAAATTCTCATCATTGATATATGGTGATTGTCTTGTTTTGATGTGGTAATTAAGAAACAG